GAGAGAGAGAGAGAGAGAGAGAGAGAGAGAGAGAGAGAGAGGAGTAGAAGAACCCCGCTGACCGAATACGAGTTTTCGATATTCAGCACTAAACATTACTCCATTAGCTACAAACTACCATTTAAGTGATTCCGAGAAAACAAACTCGACGTTAAATTCACGGACTGGCGCTGCTAAAAGGTCTCGTTACTCAATCCGCATTCCGGAAGTGGCCTGTGCCCAAAAGCTGCTCTCATCCTCGCTCGATAATGCAATTATCGGCTGAGGCGAGACTAGAGTCTCGGAACCGAACGGAAAAGGCCGTCTTTTAGAAGACTTAACGCGCGTTTTGACGCTTCCTGTTCGCCGAGACGCGTCGCAGGAGGATTACCGCGCGGCGGAGGACTTTTATTTTCTGCACGAAGAGAGGTGAATGACACACGCGCGTCGTTGACGGCGCAATACTGATTGGTCAATTATACGACGAACCTGTCTCGCCACTCGCCATACAAAATTTCTCAGCGATCGAGCGCGAGCGACGTAAGCGCATTATGTGTGTGCGCGTAAGACGTAAGCCGCCTTCCTCTGCGAATCCCGACGGACACGCTCGCGTAATTGCGCCCTTTTCAAGCGCGATCTTCTCGGACAATTGTGCGGATCACGCAGATGTCTATTGTGACGCGGCGGTGGGAACCTGAAATAGCCGTGTACAACCGCGCCGAGGAGAGACGTGTCTTCTCCGCGCTCCTCGAGCGAGTTACAAAGGCGATTCATTAGCGTCATCGCCATTTCGCAAATCTGATACTTAACACGCAAAGACGTTTCATTCACGTTGCCACGGACGAGGTGCACTAACACTCTTACTCGAGTCGTACTAATCACGGCGACGAAACTCGCATTCTCGAAGGAATATGATATTCTTATTCTGATTTGATACACATTTACCGTGACGCAAGAGAGAGAATTAAAGCGAAATTAGCGGCGAGCGGACAGAAGGGAATGGATTTCTTGCGAGCGCGCGTTCTTCCGTAATTCTCGCTCCGTGGGATGATCTAAAAGTATTCGAAGGAGAGAATGCCAGGAGAGTACACGCGAGAGATAGCGAAAAGAAAGCCGAAACCGGTTCCCCAAGATCTGTACCTAATCCGGATCAAAAGGCTGTCGACTCCGACTCTCGCGAGTAGAAAAACCACGTCTTGACTCATTGGCGACGTCGTTCGTTCGAGACGAAAAGAGAACGGCATTAATTAAAAAATAAATACAAATATCACGCATCATTTGCATCGGTATTTGTAATCCCCAAAAATATATTGCGAAATCACATCCAGATCCATCCAAGTGATGAGAATCTTGGAAAGTTACTCAAATCGTTGAATCAAATAAGTCTTTGAGTCTCTTAATTCTCTACTGCCCAAATTAATTTTTCATATTTAAAAAATTTTTCACGTAAAACTAAATTATTCAACACATATAAAATGAACTTTTATTTTTCTAATTTTTTATTTTCCCAAGATAAATTTGTAACTCTGAAATCATGTCGGGTAGTTATTATTGTTGCCAACATTCTAGAAAGTAGGCAGCTATATTGTGACTTTTATGTCACACCGGTCAAGACAGAAACATTTATACTGGAGATAAATAATGATGAAAGTGAACTTCAGAATCACAGTAGGCAGTAAAGAGTTAATAAGAGTCCTCGCAGCTCGTAGCTCTCCGCTATGAGAAAATTAACTTTCCACGATTCAGTGAGTGGCTTCTTCCGTCAATTTCAATACGTCTCACGTGGGCGTATATTTCTCAGTGAAAATACCGAACCGATCACGCGTTCGAAGACGTGAATGCCGGTAAGACGACAACGTGCGAAGCCTATGATAATGAGATTAGCACCTCTCGACTGCGTGACCGTCGCGTCGCGTCGTGTCTGCGTCACTTGTCGCGCGAGATAGACGGGGCGCGCGTCCGGAATTGTCGTTCCGATAGTTCCTGGCGACAGATCAGACGATGCTCTTTCTCGTCGGTAGCGGGAATTTCACGCGCTCGGCTATAAAAGCCCGCCAACGTAATCCGATGCAGCGCGCCGACGTCACGTCGTGGAAAACGAGCGTGTCGAGATCGATCGCCATCCTCGTTCTATTGAACTGTGTTATACGTCCGTCGCGGAATGAATACGTCATACGAGATCGATTAAGCGCACAGACGTGCCGCGCGTTCGCTATTTTGATCGATTTCCTGGTCGCTCCTGGACGTAACGATAATAATACCTAAAAACATAATAACACTGAAAAATGAAAATGATGGAAGCAACACAGCGATCGCTGAAGCGATCCTGGACGTTTCGAGTCGCGATTTTCATTCAGCAACTCATTGAACGCTTTATATTTAACACACGGGGAAAAAAAGATTGATTGCATTAAAGTGACGTCACAATTGAATGCATTTAAAAGGGACAGAATTTCTAGTCGTTGAGAACCGAATTCCATTCGCGCAAAGCAGAAATCTTGTTTCCTTTAACGAAAACGCGTTCAGTTGTGTCATTGTCGTGTGTTGACTCAGCCAATCTTTTCTCCCTGTGTCAACGCAAGTCAACGCGAGCACAATTCTGCCTTTGTTTCATATTCAATGAGTAACAAAGGTAAGAATGACGCGCTCCTGTCGACTTGGGTCACTAAACGGAAAGCGCTCATTTTATGTATCACATGCTACAAACGCTAATCCCGAGGTTGAGTAACAACATACGTCGAGTTTTCCGGCGAAGCTGCCGGCAGATTTGCAAACGCACGATCCTCGGAAAAGAGTTCGCATTCGTATTTTTACCTGCACTCATGGTGAACGGCAGTTAAAAGCGCAATACGTTTTTGCAGCTACGATATAGCGGGAACCCGAGGATTTCCCGCGGGGGGAACGTCCAAGGCGCGGGAATAAACGCAGAACGGCGCATGACGACTGACAAGCGGAAAATGTTGGCAGGCTGACAGCCGGTAATCAATCAACGGCGGTGAATTCGCGGCGAGAAACTGTGCCGCACCGGCGCGGCGCGGTGCGACATGACGTCGACAAATATTGGATTTTTAACGGGCGAGCGTTAAAGCTTGCCACGGCCAGCGGGTCATCGTTGCTCATACGCGTACAACGTCATCGCTTCAACGAACAACGCCTGTATTCCCGTCGCGATTCGTCGTAGCACACGTATCGCAAAAGCGCCGTTGGTTGTATCGTTTCACGGAGAGTCCTTCTGAGAAATATCATTTGAAGTTAAGTGAAGTTTAACTGATCCCTCTCGCCTCTCTTCATGGCAGTACCGCCAGTTCGGGAGGGCAGACGGAAAATCATTTCGGATGCGACCGACATAGAAAGAGAGAGAGGACAGAGAGCGGTGCTTCTGCAAACGAAATCTTCGAAATAATTTCGTCTGTCGCTCGTAATTAGCGGTGACGTTTGATACTGATCACGTTAGAGACAGGCTATTGATATTAGGTATGAGGTAAATTATATAGTAGATCGGCGTACAGAACGTTTTGCGTCACGTTTGTCAAATAAAGCAGAGAACGAAATTATTCGGTTTTGAGAGATTAATGATTATGACGGATAAAATGAACGACATCGACTCGGTATTTTTGTAGACATTCAAACAAGGACTTCCTATTCTTCTTTTCGTATCCAGACTTCTTGCAATAATTTAGGAAAATGACAAACCTGTTACAGTAATCTAACATATCATATACGGAGAAAAAAGATTTGGTTCTAAAAACTATAAGTTTTATTGTTAACCATAAAAACGCGTTGGTTCGTTCATTGTAACCAAACTTCATGTTGATACAACCAAACTTGTTAGTGATAATAGCCTTATTACACATTACTACAATTTTATTATAAAAATATAGTTGAAGAAAAAAAACTAATTTTACTTAGATCATTTCTTTTCTCTCAGTACGATTTAGAGTGGCTCTGAAACCGTCAAGGAGACGTACTCCAGCGTACTTTTAATTCTTGATGTCTAAGTAGTTGATTGGCTATAACCCATTATTCATCGATTACATGACGAAATAGTGATGCGCGATTTCGAGTTTGGATTTGGGATTTTCCCCAAACTGAATCAGCCGGCCGATCAAAATCGCGTGATCGTCATTTCAATTAATGGATCCGGACCTTATAAATAAAAAGTGTGATTGTATCAAAAAATTAATCAAGAGA